CTCTCTAATTTGTATTCTATTGGTAGAAACAAGTACCTAGTTTAATTTTCTTGATGTATGTAAACATTTATAATTGTGCTGGCATGATGAATAAACTTTGAACTTTGTGAATGCGCCTAAGACGTCTACATCTTGGATTATGTGTTTTTGATGTATCAATACTATACCTAAAGTGTATTTCGCTTTTTGTCTTTCCATCCGGGTTCGCCCATGTTCATTTTTTGTTAGGTCTCTTTCTGAAGAATGTGTTCATCGCAAAGAGTTGCTCTCTTTCTAGAAAGTTGATTAGCATGTTGCTCCTTGCCATTTCTTGTACCATGTCCGATTTGCCAATATATGAGTAGGTGATATCTTGTCCTATTATTGCATTCAGCATGTGATTTGATTTAAGTCTTAGACATTTTTCTCCTCTTCTTCTAACTTTTGCCAGTCCTACTATATCCCAATTTATTCTATCGAGTTTGTAATTTAGTTCCTCTAACATTTCTTCATTTTCAAGGTCCTTGCGTTGTATGTCCCGATGTGAAGTTGGCAGCCTGGTCCGCTCCAGGGATTCTTAGCACCCTCTGTTCGGTCGCTGGTCTGTCTGCTGCCTTGGTTAGGGCTAACCGAGCTGCTGGAGACTGAGGGCTCTTTCCTTTGTCTTTATGTCATTTGAGAATGGGTTTGCCATGAAACACCAAATTCGCAAGACGTCCTGGTGAATGAGAAGTTCAGCCGCCTCTAACTTGAGGAACAGACGCTGTTCGCGGCAACCCATTTTGGGTCAGACGCCGCTTTCCTGTCGGCGGGAGGTATTTCATTTCTTTCCACCTAGGTCTGGGAGGCATTCCTCTAACCGCGACCTGGGAACGCGCACTGTAGGGGTAACCGGCTCCCCCGAGAGCAAAACGCTGTCAAGATATTGCTGCAAACTTTGCGTTATCAAAATAAATATCACTACCTTATTTGTTATAATATTATAAAAAATTGATTTTTGATCTCAACCATACTCGATACTTGACTTCGGGTTCCATGCTGACTTCTAAACTCCCTTGGAACTGAATTTTCTTCATAAAATGGTTTTTCTTCGACTGTATTGACTAATAGTCCCCAGTACATCGACCTTAAAATTTTGTAACTCATGTACACGCCCAACTTCCTGAGCGGCTTCATAACACTAAGTCGGACAATATTTTTCATGTCTCCACCCTGGGCGATGGGACATTGCTGCGCTAGCTCTTCGTGAAGTTGTCGTTCTGACGTCCCTAAGGAAGTTGATACATGTACGTGTAGTTTCAATGCCAATCGACTGTTTTTTACATTACATTAACGATATCACATTTGTCGGACAAAAACCATGTGGCTTTGGGTAAGGTCCGACACCCCCAACATGTCGCTGTGGCGTCCCTAAGGATGTTGATACATGTACGTATAGTTTTAATGCCAATCGGCTGTTTTTTGTATTACGTTAACGATATCATATATGTCGGACAAAAATAACGTGGCTTCGGGGGGGTCCGACGCTCTCAACATGTCGCTGTGGCGTCCCTAAGGAAGTTGATACATGTACGTGTGTTTTTAATACCAATCGACAGTTTTTTACATTACATTAACGATATCACATTTGTCGGACAAGAAATTTGAGACAATCAATGAAAAAATTAAAATTAGTTTGCCTTAACGCAACGTGCATATTAGTCAGTTTATTATTTACCTACTTTGTCAAATACCTGTGGGGTCCTGTGTTATATTCCCTGATCTGTTTTTTTGATAGGTCTTCTAGTATTTACGGAAATTGTTTAGTGAACGGTCATTCAAAACCACGCGTGTGAGAAAGAATGGATATTCAGTCGTGTTTTTTGTGCAATCTCACGAGTGAAGATCCTGAATTTCGGCAGAAATTGATCAAAAGGACTTTTGTTGTCCGACTGACTTTAATACCCATTTTATTTGTCCGACATTTACTACACATGCTTTAAAAATAGCATTGATATTCATAATTATTTTTGTTGGACATACATATATCAACTTCCTTAGGGACGCCACAGCGACATGTTGGGGGCGTCGGACCCCCCCAAAGCCACGTGATTTTTGTCCGACCTATGTGATATCAATAATTTAACATAGAAAACAGTCGATTGGCATTAAAACCACACGTACATGTATCAACTTCCTCAGGGACACCACAGCGACATGTTGAGGGCGTCGGACCTTCCCCAAAGCCACATGATTTTTGTCCGACAAATGTGATATCGTTAATGTAATATAAAAAACAATCGATTGGCATTGAAACTAAACGTACATATATCAACTTCCTTAGGGACGTCAGAACGACAACATCACGAAGAGCTAGCGCGGCAATGTCCCATCGGCCAGGGTGGAGATATGAAAAATATTGTCCGACTTGGTGTTATGAAGCCGCTCAGGAAGTTTGGCGTGTACATGAGTTACAAAATTTTAGGTTCGATGTACTGGGGACTATAAGCCATTCCACGACCGACCCCATAACTTCTGTCTGTGCTTCAGTCAATTCCATGCTATGTAACTCCTTTTGTTAATGAATTAACAAGAGGCCCATAATATGCTCAGTTTGCTCAGCGAATAAATATTTGGGGGGGTTGCTGAAAAGTACAGAATGGTTAGAGCGCCACTGAATTGAAAAAAAAAAAAAAATACATAAAATATTGGGGTGTGAAAATTCAGAAACACACCTAAAAAAAAATAATCAGCAAACGTTAATTTGTAATTCTGAGAAGGAAATAAATATGGCATATAACTCAACCAAATGTTGATACAGGTAAGCCAATAAAACAATTAAGTAAGTTTCGAATTAAATTAGGGTATATTTCAAAAATCAAGTTCTGAATAATTTCAAAGTATAAAATCAATTACTGGTAAAACACTTTAAATAAAATCAATAAATAGAGGTTAACTCTCAATCAGTTTCATCAATTGAAAAAAAATAATCATATTACAAAGTACCTCAATATACTTGCCATATAAGTTCATTAACACTCGCTGGTCATATCAATTTGAAACAATAATATGAAGGATTAAAGTTTCCAGAAAATTAATTTAAAACAGAAAATGAATGATTGAAAATTATAATATTAAAGATAAATATGGTCAGCTGCTGCCAGATAATAAAATCAGTAAAATCAAATTTAAACTGTATGAAATTAAAGGTTAAACGTTGAAGGTATAAAGGAGATATAACCGAAATCCTCAAGTTTATAAGTAATACATCCCAGATGAAAAACTGATCAATTTTTGGCGTTATAGGTACTCACCCAATAATTTTAAATTTAGATTGTCCAACCTTGACCTTGACCTCAGTTTAGTTTAATGATTATGATTAATAAAAGATAGGTACATTTTTTTAAACATGGCGGTACAAAAGTGAAGTAAAGATAAATCTATAACAAACAAGGTAAATCAAAAATCGGAAATAATTATTTAAAGTTCACTTCGCTGTCAAGAATATTATGAATGAAATTGAAATTGAAAATATTTTAAAGTAATGTCGGTAAAACTTCAATCAATTGTGGTAATTATCTTAAAATAGATTTCATAGAAAAAGGAATAAAAGTTATAATTGATAGAGTTTCAATCAAGCCTCAATTCCAATAAAAAGATAGAGTACGGTAGTCGGTCACTGGACGAGAGAAGTTGCACATGGAAGTTGCAGATTCTAGCCTGAAATCAAGGCTAGAGGTTCATTTTTTTTTTCGTCAAATGTGGAGGTACAGGTATCGACACGTGAGGGATTGTTGCAAATAGATTTCTTGAGAAAAACAGCTCCTCGGAAAAAAACCGTTCCCTGGAAAAACCCTAAGTAACAGAGGCATTCCATTAACAACCATATAACCATTTCTTAAAAAAAAGGACTTACCACGAGGGGGTTCGAAATTCAAACTTGAATAAAACGGTTATTACAAGACTTTTGATTTAAATTTTTTCGGTAATCAAGGGATTATTGCCTTACGCAACTTCATTTCGTTAAGATAATGCCTGATGGCCTATAAGATACTTTTTCCACGAGAACGGTATTCACACTTGAGGAAGATGGTTGCCCCCAGCCAGGATCGACCTTTCAGCTCGAACGGCAAAATTTAAAAGGGACTACGAAAAGGACAAATTGAACAAGCAAAGCTTCCTGTCAAAAATAGCCAACGGAAAGCGTTAGTACTTAAATCGGTACGTCAAATTTAAACGAAAATCTTTCTCTCTAGTTTAATAATCGCTATTATTATTTTCGACAGAAATCTTCTCTTTTTTCTTAATGCAAGTCACCAGAATGTGAACATTAAAAGGTAATATAAAATTAAATTTGAAAAAAAAAGGAACAAGTAACGTTTTTGCAATATTACAGCTAGCATCTGTGGAAAAAAACTTCTCCAAAAGCCAGAGCATGTTTTGGAAACATACAACTTTTGATAGGTACTTTACGACCTCAATCCAGACACTAATTATTAATCTTGCGATGAGCCACTTAAAAAGTATATAAAGTAACAAACATTATTTGCATAAGCTCTTGCCGTTTTTAATTATTTTCTCGTTTCACTTAGATGAGTCTAGAAATAATGCATGTTGAAAGTTTTCTGCCATATGATAATTATTTCCCAATTTATCGACAAATGTTATGATCAAGCACAGATAGTAAGTAGTTATTGGAAAAATCTGATTCTATTGAATGTATTCCATGATATCCTGAATCTATGAGAACAACATAAAAAAAATCTTGAATCTGGACTTGTGTAAATTTAAAATCGCCTAAGTAAACTGAATCTGTAGTTCAGAAAAACAAAATTACTGACACAGATTCTTCAGCAAAATTACTTTTTTTGAACAATATTTAACAAAAACGTGATTTAATTTAATTACTCCTAAAGGAAAGTAATATTAAATAGGTAGAAAGTTGCATCTATCATGCAGCAAACATGTTTTTATGTAAAGTTATTCACATTTCAATACGTATTGTGTTGTGAGAGTATATAAAGGTATTCTTTTCATTCTAGGTTTGGCCAATCTCTATTCCAACTCCTTCATATCACCAAATTCAGCCGAAGAACTAGATATTCGATTGGACGAAAGCATAAAAACATCTCAATTGGAAAATATCAAAGCCACTTTTGTACCAGAAAATGGTGACGAGCTTAGACAGATTAAATTAACGAAAGCTACGAAAGAAAGATTTGAAAAATCTACCGAGCCGATTTTATCAAGAACTTCAGCTGGTGATAATTTACTTTTGTTCAAAAATGTTGAAGAATCCTTGGATAATAATGATGTTGAGCTATCCGGAAGAATAGGACGATTTATACAACCATCAAAAACGGTAAGGAAAATAACTCTAATATTATAATAAATCAGAACACAATCATCATTTATTTATTAATTATTAATTTATAATAGTAACAAAATGTTATGCTACACCAATGCTGAATTATTAATTTTGCTTTAACATTTGTATACTGTAAGTATACAGTTAAACGATCGACGTGCACAAAAGCATGAAAAAGAAATATGTTTTTTTTTTTGAAGTAATAAGTACATACCGCTAGGAACGCAAATAAGCAGGTTTGGAATTATAATTAGCGAATCTTAATATGTTTTTGTTTTAATATTTTCCGCAAACGTTGTAGTTATAATTTTGTTGTCTTTTTCAGGACAAAAACCTCTACTTCGGTAATCTCCATTCTACCATAGATCCGGCCTCGGGGGAAGACCATGGGGCTCTGCAGCCCAAATCGCTGCAAGAGCCCCAAGCAATCTTGCCGAGTGCCACGACGAAGGCTTTTGCTACTCAATTGGTTAATCCAGAAAGACCCAGACAAGCTAATGCCGACATACAAGACATTATCACTGGAATAGTGAAACTTCTGAATGGGAATGTGAATGTCCAAGCTAATACTGCACAAGTAAATATGGGAAGACCTTTAAGACCACTTTCTACTAGAATTAACAATCGAGGACCTCCAAAGATAAGCGATGTGCCTGCGCTGCCCCCTGATTTCGATATTCCTTCACAGCCTTTACCTCCTCCAGCAACAGGTCCTGTACCACCACCAATGAGCTCAAGACTACCAACCCCATATCCTTTTGAGTTACCGAATATTTCCCAAAAACGGCCCTATACTGGCATAAGTAACATACCTTTGTCAGACCAAGTAATGCCTGGCAGCAAACGACCTGGGTGAGAAGTTTAACGCTTTCATTAAATATTGCAATTATATAATCGTGTTTTGTTTATTCACAGTTTTTACCGCCCGGTAACAATCCCACCCTGGAACCGAAGGCGCCCTACTAAACGCCCCAACCCTAATATACCAGTATACAAGCCTATGCCACATGCGGGCAACTCGGATACTGTTAGCCTAACTTCTGAAAAACCAATGGATGATATTTTTACCTTAAATATGGGTACTCAGTTTGAAGAACCTGAGCAGGCTGATACTAGCTATGAGGTACAGGAAGAGGACCACGATCATGGTCAAGATATCAGTGGTACTAGAGATGAGGAGTTGGAGCTACCAGCAGAGAACGATAGTGGTAAGTTTATGATTATTTTTGGTTTAAATATGGTTATAATTTGTGACATATTCGCTGCAGATAATAAGACAGTGTCTGAAAAAGTTAATGAAGGACTCGCTGAAGCTGTAACTTCAAGCATCAAATTAGAACAATCAGAGAATATGGATCAGGAGACTTCAGATTTTGAGAAAAACAAGGAAAAGAACCCTAAACCTGATAAAACAACTAAGGTAATGTTGTGTTTCTTTGAATTTACATAATAAATTGAAGCAGGTCTTGGTCAGAAGTTTTACTAAATACAAAAGTACATCGTCCTTTATACAAATTATGTATAACCAATATATCTCCAAGCGCCACACTATGATGTATGTATGTATGAACGTGCACCACACACTGTTCCCGTTGTAGCCACCGTCTTCTCTTTCCTCCTCGTATCTCTTTCCTAGTACAGCAAATATTTCTCCTATCATTGAAGTTAATATACATTAAAACTGTCCTTCTATTTAGATGCTGAAGTTTTTTATCCTTACATGTAAGCCAGGTTGAAATGAACCCAACTGTTATAAACTCGACTTCACCATTTGTTTTTTTCCCACCTTTTTGGTTCACATAATAGTCAAATAATAAAGAAGATAACTTTTGTCAACTATTTGCTTCGATTAAAAATGTTCCTTTCTAATAATTATTGAATTTTGTACTTTAGTCTCCTTTTTTTACTAATGCTTTCTATCGGGCCTATCTGTTTTGATTATGTGTATTTTACAAATATTATCTATGTCTTGATATTATTTAATTTTCTTCCCATTAGGTCACCATTGTCACACCCACTCTGAAAACCGACATTCTGGAAATCCCAATATCCCTTGTACCCGATGACGCATTGCTAACTATAGAACCAAATAGTGTTACTGAAAAGTTAATAGCAGCCACTATTGCTAATGATTCTTCTCCAATTAAAGCGGCATTTGAGGCAACTGCTTCTTTAAATTCAAGCGGTGGTGAGCCAATATTAGAATCCTCCATTGAAGAAGTTGCTGTAGCAAAAACTAGTGCTACTCAGCAATTGCCATCCTTGTTAAAGACTGATGTAGCTAGTGAAGTACTTAAAGGTACATTAGCAACAACAATCAAGAACGATTCAAGTCCAGCAACAGGTATTGCTTACCAACCCTATCGACCACGACCAGGAATTGTTTTGGATGACACTGAATATAAGCCTGGAGGTATCAATAGACAACCTATTATTACGAGACCGCCCATTGGTGCCATTGGAGATATTTTTGATGTTACTGTATCAGCTATCCAAGGACCTGGAGAAGCAAGTGTTGGACAAGGACATCCATATGTTATTCCAGGTAATACTTATCCGAACTTCGATTATTAATTTCTGATTCTAATTATATTATGTATTATAGTTGATATCGAGACCATTAACTCTCACTCAGATGTTATCACATCACCCATCGGCGAAGAAGGGTTTGTATCAATAGATGGCAAAAGAACATACTTGAACCTATTTGGAGATAATCCGCCTTCAACTTCAGTAGCACCTGTTGGTATCAAACCAAGTGCCCCATCAAGCAACCAAGTGATCCAAGGCACCGGTTACGTGGAGCTCGAAAAACCACCGGCTAAACCAACGTATGGTTCAGTTAAACCTGCCCAAAGACGACCGACATATGGACGTCCAAGACCTAGTCAACCCCCTGTACGAATTGATACATGCATTGTTGGTGACGATTCCACTTGTGACGCGTCTCAACATGAAGTTTGCAGGACAGAACTAGGAGTTAGTGCTTGCCATTGCCGTGCAGGTACTGCTAGAAGGAAGCATAGGGATCCGTGTAGAAAAATTGTATCGGTGCTGCTATCTTTGAGGGTTGACAGGATATATGAAAGAAGAGTGGTTTGGGCTAGTGAATTGTTGGAGAAGAATAGCGAGAGCTATGAGCAGTTGTCATATGAAGCAGAAAGAGCGGTGAGAACATGTTTGATATAGCTTGATGTATTCTTGGGGACAAATTGATTGTTTTATTGATTAAATTTGTTAATATTATTTCTCCCAGCTGGAATCCGCCATGTCAATGACTCCATTCAGTGATGAATATCTCGGCTCCAAAGTTAACAACATTTACCAAGGCGACCGATCACAAGGACAAGCAGGTGTTTTTGTCAATATCACTCTACAGCTCGAAGAAAACGCTGATACTTCCAGACCATCAGTTAGGGGTGATATCCAACGACACCTCTTGGGCGTTATCCAGAGAAGAAGCAATAATGTTGGTAATAGTGCTTTGTGGGTGGATAGTCCACCTGGATCAGTGTCTAGTTTACAAGGTAAGAACTGAAATTTAAATAATGCGACGTTACGCACTAAATACTAATACCTGACTCTTTGCACTATATAATTTTTATTTATTAATATTCCACTGATTTGAATAGATTTGGATGAATGCTCCTCTCCAGAACTTCACGACTGTCACGCTCAAGCGATATGCATAAATACTTTCGGAAGTTTCAAATGCGAGTGTCACGAAGGCTTACGAGACCCTTGGGCCGATAATAAGCATAGGGCAGGACGACATTGTGAGCAATGTGCAGCAACTTATTGCAACAATCGAGGGGAATGCAAGTATCAGAACGGACAGGAAAGTTGCACGTAAGTTGATTTGGTGGTTGCCGCAAGATTTTGGAGTGTAGAAAAAACAATTCCCCAATAATAATAATTTTCATTGATCTACAAATCAATAATTTTGAGAACTTTTGAATACTTTCACATATTTCAATTGAAGTAGCTTTTCATAAGTACCTTTTTAGAGAGTATATTATTATTTTCAGATGTTCTGGTAATTACTATGGCGCCCAATGTGAGCTAGACGGTGAAGTACTTGGAGTAGCTATCGGTGCAAGTGTTGCTGCAATAATAATCATAGGATTAACGTTGGTTTGCCTGGTTATGTGGAGGTAAATTCCTTTATTTAATTTTTTTATCCAGACACTTAATTTTAAATTTGTTTTAGTCGAAAATGGAGTCGAGAACAAAAAGCCGCAGTAGGCAGCCCAGTTTTTGGCTACATGGCTACAGCTAGTAATACTGTTAAAACACCCGTAGTCGGTGCACCCCCCTATCAATTAACTTTAGAAGATAGATTGAGATGGGCGCAGATTGCTGATGTTATGGCCCAGGCAAATCATTATGCTGTAAGCCACGATAGTGATTTAGTTATTTTGATGAATGAACCAATTATTTTTCAGCCTGAACCAGGTCTAGCCCCAACGCGACCTTCATCAGCCATTTTTGGATATCCAACTCTTCAAATGAACAATACCCTTCAAAGGCATCCTGGATCTCTATATGGTGGCGCAGGTGGAACTTTACCTCCAGTACCATTACCAAGACTTAATTTACAAGTAAGTTATATCTTTTTGTAGGGTCTTCAAAAAAACCATATCAAAGAGTGCTTTGATTACGAAAACGTATACGTTTGAAAAATCATAGGCCATCTTGGATATGGTTTTTTTTTGAAGACCCGTTATAATCTGTTTCCGAATTTGTCCGTTTGCCGAAATACATGCACCATACACCACCCTTGCTTTCCTCCACTGAATTAGCTTGGGTTGGTTTTTGTTTTGTAAGTCGAATAAAGGAACATTTCAGAAATTGTAGAATATTCAAAAGCGCAATCAGCAAATTGCCAGCGATAATAAGCTGAATACTGCCCCAAGTAATAACTACAGAAGAACTACACAAATTTAGCGAATAGTAACAGAGATTTCGCAACAACAGATTCAGAATTCAGACTCTAATATATATCAAACAGTTGGCGAAATTGTGCCCAATCTGGCAACACTGTATGGGAAGCCCAAAGATGTCCCTCCAAATACGAAGTATAAGTCCCCTAAAGCTTTAGGTATATGTATAGCAGAGGTAGCCCTCAAACCCGTATGTCATGGAACGTTATTGATCGACCCCTGTATGAAGAATCAAATAAATAATTACCTAAACCTTATTGACTGTTGAACCATTTTAGAGATTCAATACACCTGTTGAAAATAATTCACAAGAATAGAATTTATCGAATAATCTAGCGAATTAGGGATTGATATTTATTCTCCGAATTGTTTACGCGACGCGCATACAATTGAATTCTTAGAATCCGGCCGGGCTCCCGAGGCAATTTTGTAACACTGCCTCCCTCTCAAATCAGATCGTCCCGATCTGACTCTACCAAGATGCACCACCTCCTCTTCGTCTATTTCTCGGTTTCTCCACTCCAATCCATAATGATTTAGTTTATTCTCTTACCTAACATCTCTTGCCTGTCTGAGTGGACTGCGACCTTAAAGCAGCGCCCTAGACCGCTCGGCCTGCCTTACTTTTCAGATCTCCCCTTTTGTATACATGGCTCTTCTTCCCTTGGATTGACGTCATGAATACTAGACGAATAACTATACCTGATCCTGGTCCTGGTCCACTCTCTTTCAGTTGTTAACTTCCCAGCTGGGACCCCGTTCTTGATCCGCATTCAATCGAAAGCTTCTAACCAAGAACTCTTTTTAGCTAGGCATGCTGGGCTAACATCTAATGCTCCCTTTTAAGTTCCCCAGCTTGATCTTGCCTTCCGTAATTCTTCTAGAAATTCCTTCAACATGGTGCCGTTAGTTTCTCGTTTTGGCTGCTTTTCTTCACGAATCGACACAGCCCTAATCTTTGCTTCGGAAATCTTATAGGCCGCTTCGATTTCTAGGGCCTTGATTAGGGCTTTGCTACTATTTGATGGTGTGGGTATGAGCAGCATTCTCTGATCATCCATATCTCTTATTCCATAAATAAAATTTTCGGTCACTAGTTGTTCTCGCATTACTGCTGCCCCCGGATAGGTCAAATCGACCAGACAGAAAATTTCGGTTTCGAACTCTTTTATGCTTTCTGTAGCTTTTTGTTCTTAGTTGTACCTGGTAAAGCTGCCTTGGTTTTTGATCTTCATAACGACGCTGTAACGCATTAACAAGCACACCACAGTTCAGTTAGGAAGCTGGCGGAAGAGTCTCTGATAAGTCTGAGGCAGGGCCCCGTAATGCTACCATCATTCCTGTAGCTATGTCATCGGAGCTCCAACCATTAACCCGCACATCAGTCCCGAATTGACTTCTGTACATTACCCATGATATCTGTCCGTCGTATGGTGGTGGCTCAACTTTAATATCAGGTACAGGCCAAGAGATATTTCCTGATCTCAAGTCACATTCCAACTTTTTGATTTTATTTTGAACACTATCCATTTCTTGGTGGAAAATTCCAACTTCCTGATGAACAGTTGGAACCTCCAGATAAACACTTTCAACTTTCTGAACACTCCCAATGTCTCGTACTTTCAGAGTCTAGTTTGTTCTTCAGAGATTACTATTTGAATTCATTCTCGCTGAAATTTAAAATTCACCTGAAAATGGTCCTGTTCCTCTTGTCGTCAGGTTTCCTCCTCTTGTTTGTCTTTTTGCCTTCGGTCTTCTTCTTCTTGTTTTTCTGTCTGTGTTCGGGCTTCTTCTTCTTGTCTTTTATCATCCAAATTCTTCATGAAGTCCGCCATAACTTGTTCCATTTCGGCTACGTACATTTATCATAGAGTATTCTGAATAGGCATGATGACAGTAATTGAAAATCAGTTAAATTATGTTTTTATTTGATGAAACTTGATTCATGGAATACGAAACAGGCATTTATTTTTTTATTAAGAGCTAGATTGATAATTATTTTGATAAAAATAAAACTACAAAATACGGAGATCCGCCATGATATATTGAACACCAATCAGAACGAATGACGTCACTTTTGAGTAAACCAGCAAACAAACGACTGGTTCTCCGTGATATTCTTGTGATTCTATTTGCGGTTCAATTTTGTTTATACCGTGTGTTGTTTATACCGAATATTGAATCAAAAGTGAAATAACGTCATGGAACAAGGATTTACTAAGGTAAACAGTGTTAATTTGTGATGATGCTGGGAGAGTCTTCACCATCAAATAAAGACTTTTGTTCAGCAGAAAAGAATCAAGAAATGGTAAAACTTCCATCTAAGTATATTATTAATACAATAATATTTGAAAATCATTATAATTTAGGTGATAAAATAAATCCAAAAAATAAAATACCTATAAGAAAGCGGTGGTGCAAGGGGAAACCTAACCTCAAAAAAGATTATTTTTACATTGAATTTAGACCTCAAACAAGATACATAGGTACCTAAAATCTGTTTTTTATTTAAAGATAAAAGTCAAAATGACATTATGTTGGCAATATAATGTAAAATTGTCAATGCTTTCAATTTTTTTATGTAGAAAAGGCTTGTGTTGCCAACATAGTTACCTACTAAATTTTTGACTTATTTAATATATATATTTAAATACACAAAATATCTAAATTTTTCAAATTTTCAATGAGCCGTTAGGTTTCGTTTACTCAAACGTGACGTCACTATTGACGCCATGACACTGAGAAGCGTTTTCGCGCGAGTTTTAAATATAAAAATTAAAATGTAATTTTTTCTACCAAAACCTTTATTATCTGCAGAAATATGTTATTCATTGTGAATAATATACATTTCCGAACATTATAGGATAGTTTTTTAAAATCTGTCATCATGCCTATTGTTTCTATCTTGATTTTGAATCTGAAGTTCTATGGCGAAGTCAAATTATTAACTAGAACACAATGGCATTCAATGAACAACCATTACTTTAAAAAAAAAAATTAAAAAATTACCACGAGGGTTCGAAATTCAAACTCAAATAAAACGGTACTCACGAGACTTTTTATTTAAATTTTTTCGGTAATCAATGGATTATTGCCTTACGCAATTTTATTTCACTAAGATAATGCCTGAAGGCCAATAAGGTACCAATTTTTTCCACAAAAACGGTAATCGATAATTCACTTAGGAAGATGATTGCCCCCCTAAGCCAGAGCAACGGCCAGATTAGAAAAGGGGCTCTTCAATTTTCTCTTCCAGAATAAATAGATTTCTCTTGACATTTTTGAAAGAGAACCTATTAACCTGTCAACCCTCAGCTATGTGAAAAGCACTACGTTCGAAAAGTATTAACAAGGTTAAAGAGCAACAAAGTACTACGTCGAGTAGATCAAGGTGGTACAAAAGAAAGCGCCTACTCCTTCCTCGAGGTCACCGATAAAATAATTAATTCAGCCGGCAATAATAGGAAGGTTCGACATTTTTTGTTATTCTTTTATTTAAACTGAAATCGAGAGATTTTATTATTAGAAAACGATCAAAAAAAATTTGAGCGCAAAATATTAATATTTACGTTTGTTGCGAGCAGTTAAAAATCAACGATCGGCGCTAGGATAAAAAACGTACCTCTACGCGAGACTAGGCTGCATGACGTCAGTAGCCAGGTACGCCACGTGAATTCATATACCCTCTCTATCGGCCTTTACGCAAACGCTGATCCAATTAACCCAATCACCACTTGATTTAATTTGTCTTTTTTCAATCGTGTTCATTGAAGAAAGATGGAAAACAGACAGCTTGTGATCGGATCAGCGTTTTTGTAAAGGCTCATACGGAAAGTATACGAATTCACATGGCGTGCCGGCTACTGACGTCACGCGGCCTAGTCTCGCGTACAGGTACGTTTTTTATTCTGCGCCGATCGTTGATTTTTAACTGCTTGCAACAGACGCAAATATGTATTAATATTTTGCGCTCAAATTTTTTTAATCGTTTTTTAATAACAAAATCTCTCGATTTCAGTTAAAATAAAAAAATGTCGAACCTGCCTATTATAGAAAATTTAAAATGTGATTAATTTAATAATTGCTAATATTAGAAGTAGCAGAAACCCTTTTTTTAATGCTAGTCACCAGACTGTCAACATTAAAAGGTAATACCTATAAAATTAAAATTGAAAGAGAAAAGGAACAAATATTAACTGGTAGCATTTCAAATGCTACCAAATAGATGAAAGTTTTGGAGCAGTTTTGAAATTGGACCGGAAAAAGGTTTTGTGAAGGAAAGTCCCTTAAAAAGTGCCTTTTTACAGTTTTTATCAAATAACCTGGAAACCTATCCCTTGGTAAAATTTTATTCTGTATAATAAAATGAAAGACTATAAAATTTCCTACATTTTATTTTTTCTGAGTGTCTTTCTATAGGATCAAGCCGCGATGAGGACACAAAGTTGAGTGTATCTTCACCAACTCCCTGAATCTTCATGGGCATCTACAATATAACATGAAATTACATTTTGTGGTTTGTTTATTCTTAGTTACAACTGATATCTTGTCTTATTTCTTCGTCTTCATTCATTGGTTCAGTGACTAAGAAATCCAACAACAATCAATTTCTTATTGAGAGCGCCGGTTTTTTATCGTCATTTATAAATTATCGAAAA